GTTAGTACCAAAAACAGCGGGGCTACATGCAACTTTTTAAAAATCCCTACCTGTTTTTGATACTCTTTTTATAATGTTTTTTACTTCTCCTGTAAAATAAAAAATTTGTTGGTTAGGGCTTTTTTGAATTAAGGTGTACATACATATGTTCGACGCAGCAAACAATATGGCAATTAATCTCCATGTCACACTTACATAAGTACATACATTAATATGTATGTATTTATACTGATTAAACTTATCCCCTTGACGCTCCAATTATGGCCAAAATATACATGAAAATATTGATAATGTCCAGGTAAAGGTTGAGCGCCGCAAAAATATACTCCTCGGGGCTAATAGCATACTTATGCTTACCGCCCATCATCAATTGTGTATCATAGACCAAATAGATGGAGAAGAGTAATGCACCCAGCGATGAATAGACGAGCGTTATCACTTTGCCGGGTATGAAGATTGCCACAATACCAAATATGAGGAATACAACAATGGCAACCAATAGGACGCCACCACACATGGTGAAGTCCCATTTGGTTTGGAAGGCGAATAGCGTCAAGGCGAGGCATACAGCAGCTGTTATGCCAACGGCCAACATCACCTTTGAAAAATTTGAACTGTTAGATTTATTCATACACTTGTCCACGAAAAATCTACTATGTACTTACCTCACTGGAAGCATAATATGTAGCGGTTACACCTAGCAGAAATGATTCCGCCAATGTGAAGAGAAATAGGAAAATAAAGTTCAACGGTGTTTTGCGTCGTACACTCTCGCAGCAAGCCATACACACCATGGTTACCAAAAGCACTGCTAGTGCAACCCAAAATATCCATTGTGTGCGATGAACCCAGTCTTTGACTGCTGTTACGTATATGAAGATCGTGATAATGCCGAAAGTGATTAGTAATTGTACCTGCAATTGATTGAGTAGTGGGTGACTTGAAACATCGTACTAGATACCATGATACAAAAAAGAAGGTAGTTTCAATAAACAACTTTTTGATTAAAAAGCAGATTTTTGACAATTGCTCAATTGTTAAAAAATCGAGGCGCCGTTACCCAATTTAAGTTTTTTGGTAGAGGGGATTTTATATCATATATTTGTAATTATGTATAAAATAGTTTTAATAACATTAACTGTTTAAAAGTAATTAAAATCGTATCTTAAAAATGTTTAAATTTTACACTAAATACGATGATCACTTCCCATTTAGGTTAATTAAATTTTAGTGAACATACACATATATATATGTAGGGGTTTTCAAACTTTTTTGTGGCTTTTTGTAATCTGATTATTTTACAATGTATCTAGCAAGGACTATTACGGTTTTCTATACTGAAGATAATTGTTTCTAATATACACATTTCGGTGTGAATATTATACATACTTAGATGGTTCACAAGGTGTCGTAAGTGTCCTATTGTCGTGTATCATAAAGTTTTGAACGGCTAAACAAATGTTTAGAGGACTTGCAACCACAACCAAATACTTTTTTAATGGTGTGAGATTTCATAATATGACTTTTATGGTGGCTTGCGTATCCCTTAAATATAGTTTACTGTTCAATATTGGAGCGGGTGTGAGAAAATTGATGACTCCAATCATTAGAAAGAGAACGGCCCAAACTCTAAGGCAAGTCACCCTTCACCTCTCTGACCGCTCGGCACCCATTTGAAAATGGGGTAAACTTAGCATTTTGCCAGAAAATGTAAGCACGGGTTATGGCAACCAAAGGACTTACGCGCAGAATACCTCTCCGCGTTGGAGGCCATCGGCCGCGCTTAGAAAAAATAACCCTAATCTGCCTCCGGCTACACGGTATTTTTTACAAAAAAGTGCATATTTCACACCGAATTTGTTAACAATTTAGTGTTCGAAAATTTTAAATCTTTACTTTCACTTTCACTTTCTTTTTATTTGGGATACGCGTGTGGACACAATAACCCAAAATCATTGGACAAATAACCGAACCATATCCAACAAAAGACCGTTTGCTTGTTCAAATTTCGATTATAAGAACAAAACGCTTTAAATAAACAAAAAATTAATAATAAAATTTGGAGGATTTTAGATGCTGGATATGGTAGCACAAAATGTCACAATCTGCTTAATTGTCAGGTTGTTAATATGGCGACGAAAAAGTGACAATGGAACTACCTTGTTTTTTGTATCATGCTAGATACTTAGTTCGCAGTCAATACATTTGCATGTACGTATGGATGTATATTAGACCGTACCACCCTACAAGCAAACAAAAAAAAAAGTTCGCCGTACACCACTGAATGTGAAGAATTTTTGCAAAGCAAAATTTCCCTTTTTTTTGCCGAACTTAGGGGTCGGTTTAAATAGGTCTACTGAAATAATCTAAGTACTTCCTTAACAAAGGTTTGAAGATGTTTGGAGTGCTTTAATTTACTGCCATTAGGATGGTACGTTAAGGGTTTAAAACCTGAAATCTGGTGGGTAAGTACTAGAACGGGGTACTTGAGGTCAATAAACTTTGAAACAAAACCATCGATATATCACACTTTACGATGCGACTGTAAATGCTGAAGATATGTTCGGCAAAAAAGAAAATCGGAATTGCCTTCGAAGCGAAATATGTACACTCTTAGCCAAAGTTGAATGATTTTTTGCGAGCTATAATTTACTGGCATTAGTATAAGATCTGGGGTCTCATGGGGAGGGGTATAAGATCCGGGGTCTCATGGGTAAGTACCAGAACGGGGTACATGAGGTCAATGAAATTTTCTCCTCGAGACAAGAACATCGTAAATGGCGAAGATATGTACATATCGTCGTTTAAAGTACAAAACCGCGTATCAACATAATGCAAAAGCGCGTATGTGAGATTGCATAAATTATTTTGTAGAGAGTAAAAACACTCAAATTTGTTCTCTCTTTTATAAAGCAATCGCATTTCTGGGTAGTATATTTTAGGACGAATAGATAAGGCTTGAGCCAAGAGCTTCGGTTACGCGGCTTTGCAGAACAAAGCAACAAACAAACAAACAACCTATACGTTCGGCCAACATAATTTTTTTCTTTGAAATTGCGTTTCAAAAAACTTTAGATCCGGGGGTGCAGGGCGCTGTTTTTTTTCTGGTATGGTCTAATGTACATATGTATGTACATTAGGATGCATCATCAAGATATTTTGGAAAATATTAAGGTTTACGTGAGCTGGTCCGATTTGAAAATACCTCCAAAAATCTCATTCAGTTGAAAAAATTTTTAAGTATTTTTATGCGGAACTTTTAAACTTAAAGGCTTCTATCATCTGAGGTAATTTTTAAGAAAAACTACATATTTATTGAGGCGTATTCTTGTTTTCGTACGATTTGGTAATTTGAAATTTTTGTATTGAAAATGATAGGAAAATGTCATGATTTTCGATTCGTACGAAAACACGAACACACCCCATTATAATTTTGTTTATTAAAATTTCGATCTTTGGAGGTATTTTCAAATAGGTCGAGCTCACGTAAATTTTAATATTTTTGCGAAACATTTTGGCGGACGTCTTAAAATATTATAAATTTTATATTTCCGATGGAAAAACAGTACATTTTTTTTGTATGGAGAGTAATGCACCCAATACATACATATTTTGGTAAAAAGTTAAGAGTATCACTTACCATAAGTATTGAGTAAACTTTCCGTATGAAGCCTTTTCGTATGCTCTCATCATCGAAAGAGAAGCTTTTTGCGCCCTCAGCATCGTAAGCGCCATAATTATTGTCACCTGTATGAGCGGCTAAGAAAAAATTAGTATACAACAAGTTAAGAAAAGTTTTTGGGGTTTGTTGAAAAGGTGTGCGACAAATTTATTTGCTTTTTTGGCATTTCTTCAGTTTTATTGATTTAAATTGGCAGTATGCAGGTGTTAAAAGTGGATTAAATGAGGTGGGAATTAGCTTGAATTGATGAACTATGTGACGACTAATACTAATAGTGGGTTCGCAGCGCTTAAAAAAAGGAACAAAAAAGTGGATAAAGTGCGGATTTTTATCCGTTTACTGATTCCATTCCGGATACTTTGACGATCCATTTTCCCACTAAAGTGTATATACTTAAAATATATATTAGTATGTATTCGTGGTATGTTGTGTAATTGTAACTGCGTGATCGTGTGATTTGATGTTGCTAGCGGTACATCAAATACACTAGCAACAACAACCACACTCTCACCGCTCACCACACAGAAGCACCGAATTCCGCTAGTGAGCAATTATGTCGCCTCTCTCATTGGGTTTGAGCCCAACTTACATACTCAGCCTTTCCCATTATTTCACGATGCAAGCAAGAAAATTGCTTATGATGATGACCTGACAATTTGCCTTATATACCCTTATGGACATCCTGGAGTGCTAACCAATTTGCTTTCAGGAAAACCAGATGCCGCCGCATCATTGCTCAGACTTATAGAATATGGCGCTATGGAAGGAACGGTGGTTCAGCCACGCTAATATACCTCACACTCCGGTTAGTTATAACCAAGAAATCGACTACTTCACTCCTAAACCTACTTTTGATAGGTTCTTTAAGACGAGCATCTCGTCAAGAACAGAGTGGCAAACACCAAGATCATGGAGAAGAGGGTTGACTATGGAGTTGTTTTCTCCAAGGAATTGGGGCTGGAATTATCTATGTATCAGGAATTCAGGACCACCGCAGCGTTTATCAGACCAAACGTTGACAAGAGTGCCTAGTAGGGCCGATGAGCTAGCCAGGAAAGGTACTATTCTCCCACTGTGTGAAAACGGAGGCGACCTGTAATTTAAGGCTTAGAAATAACATTATTAAAGTGGCCAATAGATTATGGCTCGATAAGGGCACTTGAAAAACAAGTAGGCTACTATGGCCGCAAACTGATAAGAAAAAAAAAATGGAACAACTACTCAGCTTCTCAATAGAGGACCTTTCGATGGACATGGCTTGTGAAACCGGTCATGGGCTATTTGGTAGGTACTCTTCTATATTAGAAATATTCTCCCATGAATAATGCAAAATTGCAAAGACGAAGAAGAAACAGTCGAGCCCTTCTTCTGCAGTTGCCCAGCTTTAGCTAAGAGCAAGCGGACTTTTTACGTAGGCATTACTTTGGATCTTCGCTTCATCTCTTATGAAAATTGTTTTATGGAAAATAGTCGTAGAAGTTCTCGGGCTTCAAGTGGTATCACCATGAAATAAATAATAAAGGCCAAAAAAACGGCTTGGATATGTCGTTCGTATGGGTGATGCTCCGGTGAAAGCATCCTTCGACATGATACACATAGAAGGACAATGCAAGCAAGGGCACCCACTAACACATTGGAAGGCCTCTGGTACAGAAGGTACTGTTTGTACTCGGGATGAGCAACTGGCGACACTTTGCAAATGAGAGGCAAGTAGACGGTTGTAGTGTCAAATAAGAAGAAGAATAAGGGGAAGGATGGGTGTGAAATAAATAGCGGGTTTGTATGGGTAAATGCTTTTATCTGCGTTTAACAAATCACGACAAAACGACAGCTTCATGTAGGGTTTAACGTGATTCCCTGCAAAAAGGCTTACAATCATGGTGCCTGCACTTAGCACAACAGATTAATTCTTGCCTTAATCATTGCCCTGAAATGCAAGCACTTCAGTACCAATTGGCAGTGTGTGGTGGACACACTTACCACCTTGGTAGGGCCGAGGCCTACCTAAAACCTCTGACGATCTCTGGATCACGACATCCGAGTGCAATGTAACTCCACATTGAACCATTGCTGGTTCTACCCGCATTTAGGTCGTAAACCACAGCCACCACGATACTCCCCGAAGGGCCGCACCATGAACAGACCGGAGTAGTGCCCGCCAGCCAGATCAGCTCAACCAGCCAGACTCGCCCGACTCGCCCGACTCGCTCAACATGCACATGCACATGCAGACTTGCAAAACTTATTCACATACACTCGATGTCCTCGACCTGGGGGCATACTTTCCGTTTCACCATCTTTCTCTCCGTTTTACAAGTCCTGCCAGAGGTGGTAGTACATACCTTGCGAGTCTTTTATCCAACTAGCCTCGCCAATCTGACCGGCAAACACAGTTCGGGGGCATCTGTTCCCCAGGGTACCGTTTTAAAGTTTTCGGTATGACTTTCGAAAGCCGTAGACATTTCTGCCTCCACCGACTCAGGACTGGCAGCCTTTGACTAGAGTAGCCCGGGGTCGTCAAGCCCGTACCTCGGAAAACGCTAAAGCCCTCGTGGCAAGAAATCAAAACGACAATAGTAAATCGATAGCTGAGTGGAAGATCGACCTATCTCGGCAGCCAGTTCAAAAACGACCTATCTAAGAAAAGTTTTCAACATAAACGCCCATCTCAGCACATTTTCAATGAACTTATTTTCTTCAACCAAATTTTGGGGTAGGGGGTTCCTTGAAAAGTTTTCTGAGATAGGGCGTTTTCGAACTGACTGCTGAGATAGGTCAATCTTACACTCAGCCATCGAAATGAGAGTTGTATTTATTTTTCTATCGGCTATTCAAAATGTCTTTAATAGAATGGTCTACTTTTAATTTTACGAAAATGTTTTTAGTGTTAGTGTGTGCGTTAGAATGTAGGTTTTGTGATTTTACCCACCATGCAAAACATGAGAAATAGGCAACAATCGTCAATGGCAACAAATTGGCAACTCGCCGATTTATTGCCGTAGTGAGAAATCGGCAATATTATTATTATTATTGTGATTTTAGACAGTAATGAAATTTCGTAGTGTGTATGTGTAAGCACAAAGATAAGGAGTTAGTAGCTTGTTCAAATAGCTTGTGCAAACTATCAGCGTGTGTGTGTGTGCGTGCTTTTTTGTGCATGTTTGTAAGTGTATTGTTAGTGCAACGTATAAACGTACCTAAGTAGGCTTTAATCTATTAAATAGAATCAGCAATACAGTACCGGGGAAGAAATCAGCAGCATTATCCCTCTTATCATCCCCTTTTTTATTTATACAAAAAAAACTTTGATGAAGAAAATTACTAAAAACTAGCCGCCACGGCAGCGCTTCAAAAAATATCTCATCAGTCCAACTCCGTTGCATTTGCAGGCATTGAAATTAGACGCATTTTTCATTTCGTAATCGACTAACGGCGTTTCGCCGATTCTGTTCAGTTTTCGTGGTATCACAAATGACAATCTCTTAATTCTCGAAGTGTGTCCCTTGTCTGGTACAACTACAACAACCTAACCTAAGCATGATTTCGACCTTGCGTTCGCGAGATGCCTTCTGACATGCTCTGTTTTCAGAAATTTTTGTTCGGATGGCCAAGTCTTAAGCTGCGTCTTATTAGTACCCGGTGACCAAACAGGCACAGCGCAATTCAGAACCGGGCGGTGATTGATTAGAGAACCTTGTTTCGGATTTCTGTTTTATTTACGCTGAAAAGGAAAGCAAGCTGCCAAAGGTCATCAAGAAAATTGTCGGGTTATTAATTGTTGTTGTAGCGGCTACAACGACCCCGCCCAGATCAGTTAATATCTCAGTCGTTGTCGTCAAGCTCCACTAACGGAAGCCCAGGAAGCGTGCAGCTTCAATGAGGTCGGTCCACAGAGACAAACGCGTTAGTGTTGTCGAGTTTTCCGGAGATGTTTCGAGTCGTGGGGTGTCTCTCCGGACACTCATTTGGCACATCTGCGTCTAATCTGCTCAGGTATGCGTTTAACCTGCTGCAGTAACCAGAGCGAAGTTGGGCTATTGTAGTTTTAGTCTCCAGAGGCATATGAAGCTCCGTCTCGTCGATGTCCGGTGGTTGTGTGCCTAGAACGGCATTCACAGGCCTGGAGTCTACATAACTCGAGACTGACTCTCTGTGAATGCCATTCAGAGCCTGTCGATATGCTGACGGGTCCAGAGGCTGCATAATGAACGTCTGGACTTCGTCCGCCAGTTCATAGAGATGCCTCCTGACGTGCCTGGGCGAGAGATCTTCTGCAAGCAGCTGTCTATTTGGGTGACCACGTCTGTGGCTCCGTGCTGTGAAAAAATAAAGTCGTTAGGATTTTGTTGGCCTGTATATTCAGAGTTTTTTGTTTTGTGTGCAAATGTCAGAGCTTTGATGGACTATGCCGTAGAGGTAGGACCAGCGTTGCCGTTTTGGTAACTTTTTCATCGTAAAATTTCGTAATTAATTTCTCAGTATGGTAACTTTTTGGTTCGGTGTTTAGTTTCTGCTATCTAAAGCTGCCTTTACATGAGGCGATAATCGCCTGCAAAAGTTGACTTGCTGTCTACTTTGAGGCAACCGATTTTTGAATCACCATTTACACGAGCAATTTTTCTGGAGCAATGTTGAATCACCTAGAAAATCGCCTCGTATAAATCCAGCTTAAGTGCCGTTTTCTGAAGTAGCATTTAACCTCAAAAGCTTACTTTATATTTAAACGTTGGATTAGAAATAAGGCTATGTCTAAAGTTAAGCATTTCCATTATCGGTTTTCGACGTATGTATGTTTCTTAGTTGTAAATCAATGATAAATTTTGATGCAACCTTTAAAGATAAAGTGAGCTTTAAAGTTACAGGTCACTTGAGAAAGCGACCCTAAGTATATTAGATTTCCCCTAACATACAGTGGCGCTCACCCAAATAGCACACTTTTATTTTTTACTAAATTCACAATGTTTTACGTGATACATTTTTCTTTCGTTAATCTTTTTATAAAAATGTAGTAGATTCTATAACATAAACAGATGTTTTAGAAACTTATTGGCTATGCAGTTTTGTAGCTTATTTAGTTTTAGATTTGAAAATTCGAAAAATTCCGTTAATTTTTGAGATTTTTTTTTTGCTGAGGGTGTTGCGTATTTTCTTCCAAAAATTACTTGTGTTATTGGTCCCTGAAGAGAAACAGAGTTTTCCGATCGAAAAGTTTGATTTTCAAGAATTCTATACCATTTCTAAAAAAATTGTTTTTTCACCATATAAAATACATGGACAATTTGGAGCGCTTTGAGCGATCTGAAATATTTTTTGATTTCTAAATAAAAAATTGTGGTATATATATTTATTCGGTATAGAACAATCCTAGGTGGTGAGAGCTTAAAAATTCCAACTTTACTTTTTCACATGCATTTTGGAACCAGCATAATGTACATACACTTGTCTAAATAAAAATGAAGAAATGCATCAGAAAGTGGAAGTCAAGTTTGGAATAAAATATTAGTGGAGTACATATCTATGTATGTATAAACATTTAAGTGATGTAGGTACATACAAATAATTGTTTGCAAAAGTTTGTAGAAATATGTATGTATGTTTACATACATACTATGTATTTGTCTGTACGTGCCAAAGCAAAAATCTAATCGATAACTAAACTTAGTACCGTCCTATATTTTTGAGCTTCTGACTCATATTCGCAACCGTTAGTCAACCCACCACCTTTAGATAAAAACATTCTAGAATACATGCGTCTGTATGTGCATTATTCTCTGAAGTACTAAATAAAACACTGAAAGAACAGATATACATAAATAGATTTGCTGCTCAGCGATTGATTAGCCATTGATCAGAGAGAGTTCCCCACAGCGAGTAACTAGTAAATAGTTTCGACACTTTATCCGTTGATTTAGCGATCACTCCGAATACAATATTAATTTGATGAGTCAACGTTGTTATCAATGCACTTGTGAATCCCCACGATTTTAAACTTTTCATTTTGTTGCAATATACATATGTATGTCAGCTTTTAATTATTTCCATGTAAGTGTACTTGCCTTGATACATTTTTAGTTTTCGTTTACAATACGTAAAGACTCGATATACAACGAAGAAACGAGTCTAGTTCGGTGAGCGTATAAATTCGTACTGAAATATTAAAAAAAAAAAATGAAACTTCCCAATCCAACTTCAGTGGCTAACGCAGCAGATGTTCTTTTTTAGCGTGAACGATAAACCTCCTTATCAGTAGTATTCAGTATTTCCAATAACGAACCTATCAAAAGTTCCCGAATGCAGGTGTTTTTTCCAGTCTATGAGAGATAAACATCCTTATCTTATCTGTTGATAACGAAATGAACTGATTAATAATAATATTTCCTATTCGGTATGGGTATTCATCTAAACCCGTAAATGTCTCGTAACCGCGTATTTGCATTTGTATTTATTTAGATTTTTACGTAAGATGTTGCGTAAACCTCGTATATAAACCGGTTTTGCTTACAAAATTAAGTACATCAACGCGGTTACAAGGCATTTACACGTTTATATGAAAAGCCCTAATATAGTTTGGGCGTTTGGGGTGCCAATAACTCTTGCTTATTATGACTAGCCCACAAATAGTCCTTCATGCTGCTGCAGCTCTTATGTATGTAAATAAAAAATAATAATTTTTATATAGAATAAATACTTTATTGTATTTTATGGGTTCTTTTTTTTTTATTACATTCATACATATATTATTTTAAATATTAATTCAATCCTCAATCAACACAATAATTAGATCTTTCCAGGTTTCAACGGTTTTCATTAGCTTTGTTACAATTTTAGTTGATTGTTTTTAGTACAATAAAATGTAGCGCAATAAGTTGCTAAATAATACCAAATCGCAATCCTCACATGAAAACCATTTCTACGGAACTGCATAGTGATAATGCCGCAAACGCAATATCAACACTTTAGCCGTGGCACAAATTTAACTGGAATAAGCAAATAACTTCATTTCAGTTCTATTATTTGCCTTTTTACTTTTATTTAAAATATTTAAGAGAATTGTGAAAGTCTGAAGATTTTTAATCAATAAATGTACATATTTTTTCATATTGCATAGATTTTGAATGCTACAACTAACCAAATAATACAAAAAATATAAAGCAAACAAAACAAAAAACAAAAATATTTCTGGAGTTGAGTTCGTAAATAATGCATACGTATGCACTTAATTCTTTACATTATACATATGTAGTTATGTGTAGGACAATAGTTTTAACAAGTAACTTTTTTTAAATTTTGGTTAATATTCTTCTTCGTGTTTGCAAGCGCTCTTACAAAAAATTTAAGAATAGAGCAAAAATTTCCAAAATACTACCAGATACTTATGTATACATAAAATATAAATCATTAAATTGATATTTATAATTTGATTTTTTAAAGAAAATGCAATTAACTGCTTCTAATAAATTATTAACTGTGCTGCTCGTTTTGAAAAAAAAAAATGGAACGAGAATCGTTCATTACAAATTTTTAATGACAAAAACTTTGTACTTGATAAGCCCAGTAAAATTTCGAAATAATTATCGATTGAGATTCCTATTACTTATAAAATAAATACACACACATAGAATAAGTCCAAAATCATGTGTATGAATATAAACGTACTTCCTAAGAAGAAAATTTAAGGAAAATGGAAAGAATAATTATGCAGCTACTTGTTTGCTGCTTGCGATTTGCCTTGTACACATTTAATCCACGTTTACTCCTAGTCCCTAGACGCTCCTATTATTGTCAAAATGTACATGAAGATGTTTACAATATCCAAGTATAGGTTGAGTGCTGCGAAAATATATTCTTCTGGACTGATGGAATACTTATGGTCGCCGCCCATCATTAGTTGAGTGTCGTAAATAAGGTAAATAGAGAAGAGCAATGCACCGATGGAGGCATAAACCAAAGTTATTATTTTTCCTTTGATGAATATAGCTGCAATACCGAAAACGAGGAATACTACCATTGCAACCACTAATACACCACCGCACATGGTAAAATCATATTTGGTTTGCGTGGCAAATAGCGTTAAAGCAAGACAGACCATAGCCGTAATTCCCACTGCTAAAAGTACCTGTAAAATTGAGAGGAAAAATTAGAGAATCACACGCAAAAAAAAAACAACGAATCAAACTTACTTCATTCGGTGCATATCGGCTAGCAGATACGCCCATTAGGAATGATTCAGCTAGCGTGAATAGACCAAGGAAAATAAAGTTCATTGGTGTAGTACGACGTACGCTTTCGCAACAGGCCATGCATATCATTGTTACAAGCAAAACTACTAATGCAACCCAAAATAGAGCCGGGTTTCTATAGGCGAATTCTTTGGTGGGTAGATGGAAAACGAATAGCGCCACAAAACCAAAAGTGACCACTAGTTGACCCTGCATTTTTGAAAACATCAATTAGATCAGTAGTAAAGAGCACTTATATTTTTTGAAAATGATTTACATACCATTAGTATCATGTAGACCTTGCGTATGAACCCTTTGCGTATGCTCATATCATCGAAAGAAAAATTCTTTGGTTGTCCTTCAGGATCATCGTAGGCGCCATAACCACTGCCACCGCCAGGTGGTACAACAAATCCTGGTTGTGGTGCGTAACCGCCTGGCGGGTAACCTCCAGCCGGAGGGTAACCACCTTGTGGTGGATAGCCTCCAGCGGGAGGGTAACCACCTTGGGGGGGATAGCCACCTTGAGGGGCATAACCACCTTGGGGTGGATAGCCAGCTTGCGGCGGATAACCGCCATAATATTGTTGGTTAGGATCTGTTGTGGAAGATACATAGAATATTAATAAAATGCAAGATAAATTATTGAAAAAATGGAGGTTTCCATAAATTATGTTGTAGGAATGAAAATGCTTGCAAGACAATAATAGAAAGCACTTTTAACAGGGTCGAATGTTTTCGTGCAAAAAATTAACTATGCGGCAAATTTAATTCTCACACAAATACAAAAATAAATATATAAAACAAAACGTATCATATGTTTTAAGCGATGTATGTATGTATTAAAGAATGAGCGTAAGTTATTTTATGAGAAATGTGGCTTACACACGACTTGACAATGCCACTGGCAATATACTATGTAAACATGTATTCTCCGGAAAGTGGATTGATACCATGATTTAATAATTAAAGGTTTGCTCACTAGTGACATTCGAGTTTCGACACTCCTTTACAAAAGGTTGAACACACACAAGCACGCACACACACATAAAGCCTTGCTAAGGGACTCGATTTCGTAAAAAAAATCTTAAAAATCAACAGTATTTTGTAGCCAATTCAAGCTTGCACGTTATTATACTAAAATAGAATGGGCTAAATAACTGCACACGTAAAATTTTTCTAAAAATTCTGAATAAATGTTTGAAAATTTGGTGAAAATTGGTCGATTTTTATAATTTTTGTTCAAAGTTTGAAAAGCGGATTTATATGGTGTTTCTTGTATAACTACATAGGCTTTTATAAAAAAATATTAAACATAAAATAAACTAAAGAAATGTAGCCGAAACTCTTCAAAGTACCACGAGTCTATTACTTCGGCGCCAGTGCATATATATTAGTGTGGCCAGATATATGTTCCAGCCATACGGGACAAACGCATAATTTGTCACAAAAATACGGGATTTACAAAAATTTAACGAGACAAATGAGAAATAAACGAAAGTAATGTTCAGATTAATTATAAGCTTATGATAAATTTCGTGTATTTCAAGACAAAGTTTTTTAATTGATACAAAAATATGTATGTACCAAGGCGAATTTATATATTAATTCGCCTTGGTATGTACGTAGACATACAATTGACCAAACGATAAAAACAAAGTAAGAGATACAGCGGTCAAAATAATAGCAGCAAAATTGAATATGATGCTGTCGGCAACTTATCTTTATTTATTATTGTTAATAATTTTACATATATCAGATACCAAATAAATCAAAGTTCATAAAAACTAATTAAACTTTAAAAAATGTACATCAAAATTAAGTTTTTTTTAAATTAGATATCCTAGAAAGATTTCGAGTATGTGGTTTTATAGCCCATTCCATTTTAGTGCAAGTTTCATGTCGCTAAAAATGACCGTTGATTTTTTAGAATTTATTTTGTGGATGTAGCGAATTTTCTTCCATAGAACGCATGAACAAAACTGACTTTTATCTTATCTTGACTTAAAAATCAACGGTAATTTTTAGAGTCTGACAGAGTTGCATGCAATAATGCTTGCTAATGACCTGTTCGCAATAGCCGCGATTAAGCGTGACCATGTTGAGTACAAGTTAATAGGTTGAAAGGAATAATGAAATTGTCGAAAATTCGGGAACATTTTTGTCCCGGCGGAACATTTTAAAAATGTTGCAAAATACGTGACGTCCCGGCAAATACGGGACTTTCGGCAACGCTAATATGTATACGTGTACTTATGATGCTTTTGATGAATATGCTACGCTATTATAACATTTTTTAGTCCAAGTTAGTCTTCTAGCTTGTTTATTAGTGAGGTTAGACGTGGCAATTCAAGCGTTTCCTTTACTCATTTTGCTGCCAAAATGCAAAGGTTTACTTTCTTGTGCAAACAGCCAGAATGTCTTCTGTAGATTTGAAGAAATACTTTCATTATGGTCTGACTTGGCGACATTTTAACAATAATTAGCGTTCTGTTATATTGCCTAATTTTCATGTAGTAAATCACAATTCTCAAATTAGTTTAAGAGCCATTATTTCTTCTATTTTTAATATGGTATACCCATCTTTGTGAAAATATTTTTAATTTATAAACTTTTTAAGTCCTTAATATTTTATACGCATTCAAATGTCTGGTAATACAATTGAAAGTCGAATTTTTCTGCATGCACCGTGTACGCAGACAAAAAGTAGTATTCTGATATGATCCGATTTTCGGAAATTAAAATTTTTTCGTAACAGCTCTGCAATCACTTTTGAAAATTCTGGAGCTTGCGACTGCAAAACTGTTTGCACTTGCCACGTTCAACAGCTCATTAACATACATAACATATGCAAACTGCTATTTACCTACTTTCAACTAGTCAAAGCAAACCCTTTTAACATGCCACTAAATATTACTTAAGTACTTAAATAAATAAAAACTTAAATTAACCTTGATAATTTGGACCAGCTTGCCACGACATTTCTAGTTATAAAGGTATTGCTTGCTTCCCGATACTACAAACACGTTTTCAAGACTTTCTAAATACAGATGTTTTGGTTCACCACTTATGGATGTAAATTTTTTGTACTAAACTAGATTTTTGTGTGGAGAAAATTATAAAAAAAGAAAAGAAAATGCGTTAGTTAATTATGCTGCTTTGCAACTCACCCATAAAAGAAACCTTTGATACAATAAGAAGTTACTAGTCTTCAAAATACCTGAAATTAAGACAATTAATTAATTTAAAGTCATATATATTATATAGCAAGTATTGGTGAAATTTAGAAAAGCTCGGATATTAACATTCATGCAATTGTAGAGCATCGCCTAATGCGAATAATAACAAATACATATGTATGCATGTATGTATGTACGTTTGTTTATTTTCAACAGCATTCTCCAAAATGTTTTGGAGAATTTTGTTGTTACAAAA